AGTGTAGTCACACATTTCAAATCTCTATGCAAGTAGCTATGCCATACACTCATCCTTGTGGAAGAAAAAATACTTTTGTGAAAATAACCTATTCCCATCTCTCATCTATGATTTAAACTGCTACCACCTCTTGCTCTCAAAAACCATTCTTCCTTATCTTACCATGCTACATTCATCCCCCATATTCCCAGAAATGAATCACCATCTCCTGAATAGAGTCCTTAGTTTTGAAGAACAGCAATATATAAATATAGGATTAAATAATGGTATTTCCATATGATGAATGATTTTGCTTGGGTAGTCATTTGTATCAAAGTGAGTGAAAAAATGTTCCATTGATAGTTTACTTATAATTACATTGGTATATCACACCTTATGTTGCAGATCACAGTTAGGCCTAGATATTCAATTCTAAAAAGTGTGATAAGCAGGAATTCAGGGCATATAACAGGCTTTAGGTATCTAAGGCAATGACATTCAAAAGCTGTCACAAGATGCTTAATTCTATTTTCTTTTTGTAGTGACTGTAGACCCTGGAGATTCAGGTGAGCAACTTAGAGGCGAGGAATCAGACTGCAAGGTTTCTGAATTTGGATGTTGCTGGAATGGCAACACATCTGCCTCTGGTCCATTCAAAAGAGGCTGTCCACCTGTAAGGTGAGTACTCATTTCATAGAGTTATGACTGAGTTGGTACTGTTCTCGCCTTTAATTTTTAGAGTTTTGGGTTCAATAATTCCTGCAAGTCATCTGAATTTGAATGTTGCTAGAATGGCAACACATCTGCCTCTGGTCCATTCAAAAGAGGTGGTCTGCCTGTGAGGTAAAGCATTCAGGCAACTTCGGCATGGAGCTATTGTTGAGTTGGTAGGGTGCTTGCCTTCAAATTACAGAGTCCTGTTTTCGATTCCTGCATGTGCTAGGAATTTGCTTATGAATTATGATCAAACACAGTATATGAAGTTAAGAGACACTGATTCTTTATTAAAACATCTCATCCATTTCAGGGACTGTACAAAAACGATGTATGGCTGTTGCCAAGACGGCAAGACACCAGCCAGTGGAAAAGAATTTGAGGGTTGCCATGATGACAAAGATTTTGAACCCAGTACATTATCACCTGTACTAACACCACCTACCACCACCACATCATCACCAGGTGCGTGTAGCTGATTACTTGTTCTTAGGCCTATTTAAATGTATTTTTCTATTCACATCAACAACTACACTCGCCAGAATTGGATATTGCTCTGTTAACTAGAGAGTTGTATTATAAGCCTAATTCCACTCAGTATGCTCTTCGATTTCCCTCTGCTTATACTTACTTCGTTTTCATAATAAATCCACAGACCAAGCTTTTTCAACTGCTGCTCCGTCTTTCTGGAATGCGCATCCCTTGCAACTAAAAACTACCCAACGAAGAACAGTTTTTTTGTACCAAAAACGTCTTTTACGTTCCCAGGACGGTATATTCTGTGTTAAAGAATCGTTCTTTGGGATGCCAAAAAGATGGTTCTCTTTTATGGGCCCCATTTCTACTGCCACAAAGCTAGGCGGATGTAGGATTTGGCAGTAAGGGGTGGGTGGGGTCTACTTCACTACCCCCACGGTTGGGGCTGAGGGAATAGAAAATTTTGAGAATAGGGACCTCTCAGGTGCGTATCCTGAGTTTTAGCTTGGTTTCCATAGAATTGCTAACCCTATCGGCGACAGTCGTGACAGTTGTGGTTTACATACGAATCGGGGTGCCTTCCCAATTGCGCAGGGCAGCTAGCAATGCACTGATGCATCTGCAACGCAATCGGAAAAGTTGAACCAGGTTCAACCTTCCCGACAACTGTCGGTGACTGTCGCTGATAGAGTGAGTGATTATATGGAAACCGGGCTTTACCCTGACTATCGCACATAATAGGATCCATGAGTGGGCGGGGTCATGGGAAGAGAACGTAATGTTTGCTTGTTTCGTCGCTGGAAGACTTGTTTTTTTTAGATGCTGAGAAATGCACTCGTGAATAAGAGACTTCTATTGATGAATGAATGCACACTGAATTAATAGTTTTCCCCCATTTTACCATGGACAATTAATAATTGCAATAATGATGATAATGTGATGATGGGAGGCATCGTAGCAGGTGACGACAGGCTCCTGTACAGGGTTAACTAACAGGCCCTTTGATATGGGTGTCAACCGAGGCCTGTATCCCGAGTTCGTTGTCACATTTTCAATGCACACAATCGGACAACAGTAATTATCTACAATTTATATAATCAGTACATTTTCGACTGTCATGAAAATATCATATATAAAAAATTATGTTATATGCATGCTCGGAAGCGGAAAGTTTAACCTAAAAGTTTGATATATGTTTCATGTTGTTTATTGATGATATTATATTCTAATATGACCACAACATAAGGAAGAACACTTTGTCACCTACAAAGTTCAGACCCATATTTATTTCCTTAGGCCTAAATCATAAGGAAGTCCGCTCTATATCCAAATTTCAGGAAAAGTACACGTTTTATGCATAGTAGGAATATTGTTTTATGTTGTTTGTTGAATGGTCTTCAAAAATATTACCGTCTAATATGACCACAACATAAGGAAGTCCATTCTTTAAATGTTTAGTAGATAGTACAAAGAATTATGATTGTTCATCAAAATCATTATACACATGTTAAATCCAATTAAAAAAAAAAAAATGTGGTTCTAAAATTGATCTTATGGCCACAACTTTTAAGTTGTAACTTCAGGAAAAATAATAATGCATTTTGATTGTACCGCCACCAGCTGGGAAAGTAATTAAATATGCATAAATGTCTTCTGTAATTGGTTGACTGCCTACATTTTAATGCTTTAAGTGGTTGGACGGTCGGATATAATGCGTAACTCTCATAATAATTTCATATTTCGAAAAATTGTTTGGAGTAGGGCCGCATATATGGTCACGTTCCATGATAGACTACATCCACAGGGTGCCCCTAAGCCAAAATTTCAAAATTGAATAAATTGTGTTTTTCCGAACCACGACAGACTGAGTACAGTAGATTAGGCCTACTGGTTAAAATATAAAAACTTAGATTTTATTTTTAAATCACAGAAAATCACAAATTTATATTCAGTACCTTCTCGACTGTCTTGGAAATGTGGACCTTATCAAATTTAGTTGGGTGTGTTATACATACTCTTCGTATTAACACCCCACCTATATACAGGCTTGGAAACTTTATAGTTTTATACGCTTGTTAGATATCTTCTCAATTTCTCAGCATTTAAAAAAAAAATTCTTTTTCCACTTCCAATGCTGTATGATTTGAATTTACATACCATTCACGTTGTTGCTCTTCTTCAGATTCTGTGTTCATTTTCAGTCTCTCAGTGCTCGGTGGTCATTTTTGACTTTTTTTTAGATGTACTGTATCTAAGTGTGTTCGTAAGTTTTAAGCTCTAGATCTACAATTTGGCTACCAACTCCATTAAAACTTGTTTTTTTTTTTTTTTGGCGTTTTTTTTTTTTGGTGTTTTTTTTCTTTTTTTTTAACGAATAGCATTTGTTAAAATAATGAACTAATAATTCATTAATCAAAAAGTAATAATTAAAATATGTTTCCGCTTTGGTGTCATTTTGGAATAACAAAATATAATAAAATTATATATGCCTTTCAAATAAGGTTTTAAGAATCACTGCACATGTATAACCTATCCTCCCTGTGATTGATTTTGTATTTACCATACATTGTGACATAAATCATAATAATAATAAAGAACTCAACAGTGTATCATACGTTATCGCGCAGCCGATTTAATTACAGTCCCTCTTTGTGTAATACTTAGACAATGTATAAAGTTTATTTTGTCTATATATTTTTGTCTTTAGTTTAGGTAGGTGGCATTTCTGACAGAAAGAGTTGGAATTCGCCAGACCACTAGGCACTGCTATCACTTTATATTGGCAAACGGTGCGAAGAGGTCTGGATCCGCGTCTGACTCTAGATGCCCGAGAATTGCACTTTCATACCTTACAACAATACAATACAACAATTATTTTTCTTAATACAATTTAGGGGGTGCAACTGCATCATTTGCACCCCCTCTGCATTCGCCTCAGCAAAGAACCGTTCGTTGTTAAAAAGAACAGTTCTTAAGAAAGGTTTTTTCTTGTCAATAGAAACAGGCCCAAAGTGATCTTAATGTTTGACATTGCTTGAAAGAAGAGTGCAGTATCAACAGTACTTTTTTTGGAAAAGTTTGCAGTGCTTCAATATGCTTAAATTTTCAAAAGGCCCACAATTATGACATCCACAAAGAGGTCAAACCACTTTTCAGCATTTAAATTGCTGTATTTTAATTTTTTGTAACAATTATATTTGACTTCTGTTCTCAGATGTGTGTTTCTTACGACGCGACCCAGGTCCGTGTCACGATTACCTGGTCTGGTGGTACTATAATTCGCAGAGTACAGAATGCCTACGATTCTACTATGGTGGTTGTGAGGGTAATGGTAATCGGTTTCGAACCGAGGATGATTGTCTGAAGTCTTGTTCAACATGGGAACCTGACCCTCCTCAAGAAGGTTAGTAATTTTTAGAAAGACAGTCTCTATTGTTACACCAGTCATAAACCAATTTATGTATGCTATTGTTACACTATTCGGTTCCACATAGTAACCCACTCTATAACCCACTCTGTTCTTTGACCTCTTCAACCCAGAGCTCTGCAGCCAGCCCAAAGTAGTGGGACCATGTCGAAGCTCGATCACAAGCTATTGGTTCAACGCTCAGACTGGCGAGTGTCAAGAATTTCAATACGGTGGTTGTCGTGGCAATAGGAATAGGTTCAGAACAGAACATGAGTGTCAGGGAGTGTGCAGTACTTTTGAACAAAGTAAGTTCAAGTAGAGTGAATTTGTCACAAAATTTCTATAAGGATTTTGTAGTCACAGAGAAATTTGAAATCTAATCCTAAAATGATGCAATGCAAGTGAAATAACGTAACACTTTGTAACTTTATAGCTGGAACATGATAATTAATGAATTTGTATTTTTGTTCCATTTTTCAAGACCCTTGCTCTCTACCAAAAGATGTTGGTCCTTGCAAAGCCTCAAAGACTAAATGGTATTACAATATGGCATCTGGAGAGTGCGAAACATTTACATATGGTGGTTGCCATGGTAATGCCAATCGATTTAATGATCGTACAGCATGTGAGGCCAGTTGCTCTAAGTCAAGGGAAGGTAAGTTGTAACAGTAAAAAAATCTCCAACTTCACTTTGGCATTGAGCTTTAAATATATCTTTCAGAAGAGTGTCTCATCAAAAAGCAAACAGGTCTCCAAGCCAGAATTGTGTTTTTTATTTTATCTTTTGCATTAAGCCTTAAATATGTCTCTTTCAGATGCATGTCTGGTCAAGAAGCATGCAGGTCCGTGTAAGGCAGCACTTCCCCGTTGGTACTTCAACCAAGATACACATAGCTGCCAACCATTCTTGTATGGAGGATGCAATGGAAATGTAAATCGCTTTCTGGATGAAGCATCTTGTAATGCGACATGTCTGGTGAAAGAAGAAGGTAAATTATCCTTAAGAAAGGTGTATACCCAGACTGTGTAACACCTGGTCTGCATAATACCTACAGTAGTATTATGTATAATACCTGGTCTGTATAACTTTTGGTCTTTGATGCCCGGGGGGAGGGGGCGCACTCTTAAATGTTCTATACGGGAAGGTGCCGCATTTATGGGGTATATTTTCGAGGACTTGGTAGCACAAGTGTGGGAAATATGGGGGAAGTTCACGCATTTATAGGGTGTACTTGCAAGGACTTTGTAGCACAAGTATGGGAAATAACTGGGAGAAATTTGTATCCCTGGCCTATCCTGTATAAAAGTGACATGATTTTCCGCACGACGTTAATGGGAATTTCAAGGTAAACTGGGTGCTAAGCCGGTATTAGGCCTTTGCTAAGCCTACCTTTGGTACAGCCACGAGATTGTGACCAGACTTTTTGCCATTGGGAACCAGTCAATATTGCGCCCTCTCTGGCACTATAGAGTGACCTTTTTCCTGTCGTCTTTTAGAGCACAGTGCGATTTTGGTAAATGGTAGTTGAAGTCCATAAGAATTAGCAGTGGAATAGGTAGTGCTCCCCGTTTGGTTGGTATGCAAATGAGCTCCTCTGGCTTTGATGTAACACCATCTATATGAAAACAGGACAACTGGTCTATATGATACCTGGACAATTGTATTACCACATCAGTCTTGTATTTTCTTATTGTTAGATCCTTGCTCATTACCAGCGGAATCCGGGCCTTGCAAGGCACTGTTGTCCCGTTGGTACTTCAGCTCATCGACGGGCAAGTGTGAACAGTTCACATATGGTGGTTGCATGGGTAACAGCAATAACTTTATGGATGAAGATTTGTGCGAAGTAGTTTGTGGACAGAAACCAGTTGTGGAACCAACAATTAAACCAACAGCAGGTAAGAAGTTAATTCTATAGCTACTTACAAAAAAATAAATTTATGCATATACCACACATTGTAATTTCACAATAATTTATTTATATTTCCTTATGTTCTGAATAATAAACGTATTATTAATTAACAGTTAAATGATAAAATAAATAATAATTAATCTGGAAATGTTAAGCGCATAGAGATTTAGATATGCGCTGTATAGATATACAATAATAATAATAATAATAATATTATTATATATATTTCTTTATAATCCTTGTGGTTTATTATAGCTGGAAAAACACATTGCCAGGAGCAGCATGATCTCATGTCGAATGAGCTTGAGGTCGGCAAACTAATCCCACAATGCACAGCCTCAGGGGAGTATGAGATGATGCAGTGTCATCAAGAATCTGGTTACTGTTGGTGCGTAGATAGCCTTGGTCAGAGACTAGAGGGCAGTATTCGTAGTCCTGGAACTCAGCGGCCGAATTGTGAAGGTATTAAAAGGAAATTTATTATCATTATTAATTGAATTATTTTACATAAACAATAAAAAAATAGGGCTGAAAAATGTGTGCGACCATGAGCCGCATTGAATGGGCATTGCAGGTTTTTATCTGTTCTTTTAAAACTACAATTATTGATTATGCCCTTTTGATTGATAACTCTGTTTATTGTGGGAAACATATTTGACCATTCCACTAGGTAATACTTATTTATGTGACAGTTCAAATGTCAGTCTTTCTGGTTCTAAGTTTGTGCTGATTGCCTGTATTTCAAATTATTATTTTTCTTTTTCGTAGGAACATAAACATTTCAAACAAAACGTGCCATTTTTGGATTTTCAAAAAGGGAAAATTACTTTACATCATAGGAACCAATAATAATAATAATAATAATAATAATAATAAATTTTCTAAATCGGACTAAAGGGGAATATCTTTTGTGTTATTTTCCCCTTAACCTCATGTTATTTTCCCACAATGTCGTTTTTTAATTGTTCTCTATTTCTCCATTGTCTAAGTTCCCCTAAAGGTAGGTTTTAGTAACATAGTAATAATATCAAAACAAGATTTAATGACAAGAAAGATCGACATTTCGGGTCCATCATGGAACCATTCTCAAGATGGACCCGAAATGTCGATCTTTCTTGTCATTAAATTTTGTTTTGAAATTATATAGTAAGCGTCTCTTAATTCAGATAATAATAATAATAATAATAATAATAATAATAATAATAATAATAATATTAATAATAATAATAATAATTTTAATAATAATAATAATAATAATAATAATAATAATAATAATAATAATAATAATAAAAATAATAAATAATTATTATAATAAATAAAATGTGATAAAAATTTTTGTAGAACTGATCACCATTTTCACCAAGCCTTGTCCACAAAGTCGTCGCAATGCTTTAACTACTCAACCATACGGTCTGTACATCCCACAATGCACTCCAGAAGGAGAGTATGCTAAAGTGCAGTGCCATGCAGGGATTTGCTGGTGCGTGGATGATTATGGTGTTGAGATTGAAGGAACAAGGAATCCAGTGAAAGACTCTGGCAGGCCAGTTTGTGAAAGTCAGTTCCAAGTGACAATTTGTAAAGCTCTGTTTACACTATCAAATTTTGTGTGACAAATTTGTGTGTCACATAAAATTTGATAGTGTGAACAAAGCTTTAATAGTAAATAGTTATATATAAGTTAGACTGTGGGTCAACAACCAATTGGAAAATGGCATATTCAGGATGTCTATACTTTGAATATAACAGCCTTACGATTGATGTAGGTTTTAAGAAAATGCTTTTAACATACGTAAGTACATCAAATACAATGCTATGGCAATGTTGGCTGTATCTTGGTTGAGATACCAACTTGATAAGCAAAAGCTAAAATGTAAATGAGATACAAAGCTTTAAGACATTATACTATGTGGTATATAATGCATATATATTTATAAAATTAGAAATTAGGGATGAACAATGTTTCAAAGTTTAAACACCATTAAACATTAATTGCTGCTTTATATTTATCTGTAAAAGTAGTTAGTGTGACACCTTCACCACCTCAGCTGCTAACACTTTGTGAGAAGCAAGCAAAAGAAGCTGCGAACAATGCTCTTCTTGGGACGTTCATTCCAAAATGCAAGGAAAATGGAGAATTTGAAGAAGTTCAGTGCCATGAAGGGTACTGCTGGTGTGTTGATGAAACTGGCTCAAAAATCCCTAATAGCCAGTCCTCAAAACGAGGTGTGATCCCACAATGCCAGGACTATCAGGTTCAAGGTGAGATAAACATTGTCATTTTTGATGAGTGACTTTCGTGAAAGCTGTTAAACTAAATAAACTGACTGCCAATTCTGTTAAAATCTCGCCAGAAAATGCATATACAAAGTATGTCTTCGTTTAATATCTACTTAGGTCATCTTGTATTATATGCAGAATAAGCACGCTGTTTTTTTTTGGTTTTCGAAGGCAGGGGATTGTATCAAGGCAATTCTACAAGAGGACGCATATCTTGGGACACCAAAGGTTATAACTCTGGCATCAACATTTTACGTGCCGCGTGCACCTATACGCTGATTGTCACAGAAACCATAGCAACCAACCATAATTAACTGTCAGCATGTGACGAATTACCTACGTGCGTATCAGTTGCCATGATAATCGCGCGTCGTGCGGTGGTTACAAATGCTTAATGAATGTTTGCATCAGCATTAGAATCAAATATATTCGTTATTTCAACGTTAATTTTACCGATGAGGTGGTGTCTGATGGTTCATGAGACTCACTTTGCAGAAAAAATAAATAAATTTTCTGCATCTACTTAAATGTTCATTCTGTGCACCTTACCCCAACATTGTCAAAAAGACAGTTTAATGTTATATAAGAACATGATTTTATACAAAAATCATAAATTTCATTTGCTATAACTTTTTATTTTGTCGATCAATTTTCATGAATCAAATTGTAGTTTAAAGAAGCACTTAACAAGTGGTCAAAAGAAATCAGATGTAACAGACATTGCGAAGTACCCAGGACAATCTCAGTAATGCTGACAAATAAATGGGGATACAACATTATGCCTCGCAACAGCTTAAAATGGCCCAAATTTGTATAATTTTTCTAGGCACCAGTTGATTAGCCACCAGGTCTTTATTCCTGGACCCCATCAACCTCCTTGGGAAATCTCCAGACTACTGTCAGACAGTCTTAACCCCATACATTAGTGTATGTTCTACAGTTAGTTCAACTGATTATTTATTCCTTTTGGCCTACACTGGTTAATTTCTCTCTCTTTTGGTGAGTGAAAAATATTTAAAAAATAGTACATTATTTTGCCTATTATCAAAGAGTGGAGAATTGCAAGAGGTCTGACTGCCTTGATTTTACATTCACACAATGAAACGAAAAATAAAGTACTTCCATGAGATAGGTGGCGCCCTATTGGAATTCCAACATAGATATTGGAACCCAAACATGCATTCTTTAAATGCAGTACGCATTAAATACAAGTGCCTTTTATGTCCTTTACAACGATGCCTTTAAGTTTGTGGTACCGTAGTACTATTCGAGATGGGATTGCATTTCAACGAAACCCCGAGAGTCGAACCTTTGCTATTATCTATCTTTTATTGTTTTTTTCTCGTCAGTATTTACAACAGTAGCATCTACAACCGCAAGTGCAACTAAGTGTCTACAACAGCGAAGAGGTGCTGCACGGAAAGGGATTTTCGGAGGTTACATACCAAAGTGTACGGAAGACGGAGAATTTGAACCGATCCAGTGCGACAGTGATGTCACTTGTTGGTGTGTGGATGTACATGGTGATGAGATTCCCAACTCAAGGACTGAGAACTCTGGAGAATTGCCAGATTGTGTTGGATTTGAATTTGTGACTGAAATTGTTGGTAAGTATTAAGACATTAATAATTAAATAACCATAACTTATATTGTGGTCATTTATTCATGGATTTTAATCCATCTTATTAAGTCATAAGATTTTGAGAAGATTGGTAGGTACTCCCCATGTGTTCAGTCTAAAGAGTCTTATCTAGACTACAAACTTGTGTTCTAAGCCCATTGTTTGATGTGGAACTAGTATACAGCATCTTTCATTTTGGATGATTTAGTTAGTCTTTTGTCTTTCATCTCATCAACTTAGTAATATAATAAGTTAATGGTAATCATAATCATAATTATACAATAGCTAAAGTATCTTCTAGCTTTCGAACCATGTGACTTCAGTTTTGTTAAATTATATATGAACATATTTATAAATTTAAGTACAGTATATAATGTTCATATGTAATATAATATAAAGTTCATTTAAAAGATTTGGTTTTAATACCATAGGATCTGGCCATGTGACAACAGGGGACAACCAAGGTAATTAATGAAATCAATGACCTTTGATTAGTAGCCTTAGATCAATGACCCTCCCTTTAGAGATGTCTTAACCAATAAAATCTAACCTAAAAAGTGTTTTTGTATTTTTTTTTAGCTAATTGATAGAATATGAATTTTACCATAACATTTTCTGTGTATTAGCTTTTTCTGTAAGTTTTCTATAATAACAGAATTCATTTGTTTGTGTAGGTGTACAGAACATGTAATAATTTGTAGCCATGTTTTCCCAAAAATGTTCCTGTCTTTCCATACCATCTAAATTACCTGTTAATTTTCCATACTTGGGATAGGATGATTAACAGATAATTTAGTGGTTGATTCAGTTATTACTGAAACAGTCTAGACAAACACAAGTGTTATGATGGATTCAGTTTACTTTTACACAGGGGTACTAAGTTGGGTGAAGCCAATTCATGGAGATCTGGTTTTATGAGCTTTATATCTAATCACATTTTGCTGTGCATGATATACACATGACTAGTTCTGTCAGAAAATTGTTAAATTCAGAAGTAAAGACATTTAGACATTGAGAGATAATTTTTGTGAGATTTTTTGGTTGCTTGAGGGAGTGCATATTATACCGTGTCAATTTGCGGGAGGCTCACCCAAACTGGAGAGACTTGGGACGTCTGTTTACACAACACGCAGGTGCTTTCATGTTACCTCTTGCACACACCTGTGAATGACACAATTGTAGGTGCAGACACCTTACTTGTTCCCTACCTGTTATCTGTGTAACTCACAAACAGTATGTAAATTCTACATGGTATCACAACTGCACCTCATTCATTTTCCGGTGTTGTTATGTGCGCATTACCTGTTCTACGCACCTGTAAATCATGTTAACAGTTGTGTTTGTCTATTATTTGTTCCACACACATGTGCCTTACACATTTACGTGTGTAAGTTTCAGGTGAGATACACACGTTTAAATGATACGTTTTAACTACTTTTGGATTAATTTTATCTTTAAAGAAAAAGATGAAATTAATTTCTTTTTATATTTTGTTAATTGTTTTGTTTACTTAATTTGAAAATTCGTACATGTGTTATAACTAGCCATCAAACAGATCACGCCGATGCCACTCAACACTTTGTGTGTACGTTGGAAGCGGGATATCTTACGCACTCAGTCTGATCCCAGCTTTATACCCGACTGCACCGAAACCGGTGAATTTGAATTGATTCAATGTTTTATATCGGGCTATTGCTGGTGCGTAGATGAATCAGGCATTGAGATAATCGAAAGCCGAGCAGCTAAGCCCAAAAAACGCAGTGATTGTATACCGTACAGAAGTGAGTTAAATAACAAGAAAAACTTGATCATAATCTCTGTGCTGTCGTTTCCTAAAATCAGACGTCATCCATTTTCATGCAGATCATAACTTCCAGGTGGCACTAACGTCATGCAATATGTGTAAACAACACTCGTGTTAACCACACACATAATTGTATGTTTTTTTTCTTGTTGGTATTCATATATTTATACTAACTTCACCTTTGGACTTTAAAAGAAATCCTCTTAAGGATACAAGTAGATTCAGACTAATGAATGCTTATTGTATTACTTACATTTATATATTATTTTATATATATTGTATAAATTAATAATGTTAAATATTTATTTTGTTTTAATTAATTTTATTTATGTATTCAGCAATTTTTATAGTTGCTCAAATAAATGACAACTGCAAATGATTTGTTTGATAATGAATATTTTTATGCTGTCATAAAAATTTCTAATATAAATTGAGGTACCTCCAGATGTTTTTTGTACTTTTATTTATTTTCTTATTTTTTACATGGAAAAAAAAATATTGATTTAAAATAGATACTAGAATAAATGTAATGGAAAATATGAATTAACTATTGATAAAAAGTTAATAAATAATTTAAAAAAATAGAATCAACTTTAAAATACCTATTCATTAGCTTGAATCTTCTGTATCTTTAGTAGTTTAAGATAATTACATAGAGTGTGTACTAACCTCATTAATTTTCTTCTCACATTTTCCTTACTATATATCTATAGTCAGCATTATACAAAGGTAACAACATTGTAGCCTGGTTCTCACGAGAGCCCTAGTATCTGGATCGGTTAGCAAGCGCTATCGGTTAGCAAGTTGAGCGCGTTTTTATCATCAACCAATCACACGTACGCGTTTACAATTTCCAGTTTCTTATTGGCCAGTGATTCGATCATATTTTTGGTATCCGGATCGGGATTTTCTCGTATGGACGCACGGCAGCTAACGGTTAGCAGGGTCCGGATCCTGCTAACCGTTAGCAGCCGTGTGAGAACATAGCCACTGTTATTGTTGGCCTACAGTACTTGACATTTTTCATATTGTGTCGTTTTCTTGTTTATCTTTACTTATGCATTCATTTTCTGTCCTTGTTTGATTCACTTTGCATTTTGAATTCTTGTTCTAATGTTTCTGCTGGATTTTGTAATATGTGCTTTACAACTAGCCAGGCCTCTGATGATAACCTTATTTTCAATTAAGTCTTTTTATTATATAGGTCCACTTCAGTTAGTAATTTCATGATATTATATAAATAAATTACAAATTACTTTCAAGTTTTTTTAAAGTGAAATATTAAGCTTTTAACTTAATGAAGTATTATATTCCAAATAAAGTGGCACTGAAGTTTGTGGCCAATCATATGTCAGTAACATGTGAGACTCTAAACTTCTAACCAATTGAAAATGAGTACCATGTGAATC